CTCTGCTACATCATCGTCACCTTCAAGTCCTTCTGCGGCCTGGCCAACTGTATGTAGATCCCTATCCCTCTGCAGCAGGGTGGTGGGGGGTGGCAGGGCAGACCCCTGCCCGTTGCAGGGGCCCCACCCTGGCAGAGAACCCTCTCTCTGTAGTTGCCCTCGTCTTCTGCACCATCCCGCAGTACATCCACTCTTTCGTCAGGAGGAATATCGCAGCCCGTGAGTATCCCGGTGCCATGGCAGGGGGGCGGGGTCAGGGATCCCTCTCTGCCCCCTCCCGCTGCCCCCTCCCAGCTCTCACCCCGACGCCCAGCACCACACAGCCCTTTGTCACCCCCACAGCCATCATGGATGCTGTGGACCGTGTCCGCCGGGAGTTTGAGTTCGACGTCTTGACCACGTACCGCTTCGACGTCAATCTCAACGCCAGCAAGAGCCTGGGGGAGGTGGCCATGGACATCATGGAGGGCGTTCGCCTGCACCTGGAGCCCACTCGCCGGGTCCTGGGGCTCTTCACACACATCACCTTCTTTGCCATCCTCTTCATGTACATCCAGTGAGTGGACTGGGGTCCCGCTCCAGCCCCCTGTGAGGACGTGGCCCCAGCGTGCTGGTGCCCAGCATCCCCTCTGTGTTCCCAGGGCGCTGCGGTACCGCCGCCGGTACCTGCGGGACGACAATTTACATCGCGCGGTGCTTGGTGGAGCTGGACCTGCGGCAGGCGGAGCGGGGCAAACCCACCGTGCTGCCCCTGAGAGCCTGGGAGAGGGGCCGCTACATCCCCCCAGGTCAGCCCTGAGCCTGGGGACATCCCCCAAGCCAGCCCCGCGGTGAGGAGCTGGTGGGTCCCGGCATGGCACGGCCTCACGGCGTTCCCGTGCCCACCCAGCCGGGCTGTTGTCTCGGCAGGAGCGGCGCCGGTATGGGCTGCAGCTCGTGGGGGTCCTACGCCATGTGCTGCTGGGGCTCAGCATCATCCTGGGCGACTACAGCCTCTTCTGGGTGCTCGACCTCGTCCAGCACCACCTTCAGGGGGAGATCGTCGCCAGGGGTGAGTAGCACCCACTGTGCCAGAGCTGCACCCTTGGGTGCTTTACTGGCCGGGCACTGGGGCTTTGGGGCAGCGGGTGCCCCGTTCCCTGGGACTGAGCCGTTTGCCCCGCAGCGCCGGCGGTGATGGGTGTCAGCGTCAACGGGACAGGCTACTCCAGCGAGATCTTCCGCGACTTGGTCTCTGCCTTCGGCGTGCTCCAGCAGGGCAACGTCTCGGTGCTCTCCCAGCGCTGCATCCTCCAGCCCGTGGAGCCAGACTACAGCACCTACCTCAGCATTGGTGACCGGGGGTGCTGCACCCGCAGCGTGCTAGGTGGGCGGCTGGGGTACGGGGTGGGGGGTCACCCCTGCGTGACTCTTCATCTTCCCACCAGGACTCCTGTACGGCATCTGCCTCTTCATCGCCGTCTTCGGCGTCCACGTGGCACGCCTGCGTCGGGCGGTGTGTGCTGCCTACTACCCGCTCCGTGAGCA